ATTCTTTGGGTTTTTCGGGAGGATACGACAGAATTTCGGGTATTAATATTTCAGAGGAGGATCTTTCTCACCCTCTTGGATTCTCAAAAAAAATGTAATTCCTTTATGAGTGATAATCAAAGTGTATCGTGTGGAATTTTTACTAAAAATTCATTTTTAAATGAATTAACAAAAACTCTTGAAATGGGTAAAGCTAAGGGTTACAATATGGACGGTTGTTTTGATCGATTAAAAGAATTAGTTGAGGGTCACGTTGAAATACAAATTCAAAAATGAATTGTCTTTCAAATAATGTTCAAGGGGCGGGATGTTTGGATAAGAGATCTTGGATTACAAATTTGTGTAACCTCCATAAAATAAATTTTCTAGCGATTCAAGAAACGAAGATGGAAGCGATGGATTTGGTTACAGTTCGCTCGTTTTGGGGTGATGTTTCTTTTATGCATGCTTTTTCCCCGTCTCGGGGATCTTTAGGTGCTATTCTTGTTGTGTGGGATCAAACAATTATCTCGCAGAAAAATGTTTTCACTTTTACTTGGTTTATTGCTATTGAAGCTATTTGGGTTCCTTCGGGTTTGGATGTCATGTTTATAGTTGTGTACGCTCTGCAAGGTGCTAATGACAAAAGACAACTTTGGGATCAAATTTCACGAATTATTACTTCGCTTTCGGGCGAATGTATAATTATGGGGGATTTTAATGAGGTTTAGGATGAATCGGAGAGATTGGGGTCGCAATTTAATCCGGGTACAGCGATTGTTTTTAATGATTTTATTAGCTATCTAGATCTTGTTGACATACCTCTAGGTGGTCCTCGCTTTACTTGGAGTGACAAATAGGGTTCGAAATTTAGTAAACTGGATAGATTCTTGGTCACGGAGGGTATTATGAGTTCTTTTCCTCATCTTACGGGTCTTGTTTTAGGAAAAAAATATTCCCGGTCATCGTCCTATAATTTTGTTGGAGCATCGTGTGGATTATGGTCCTACCCCGTTTCGGTTATTCCATTCTTGGTTTTTGATGGATGGATTTGATGAGGTTGTGTGGGAGTCTTGGTTGAACCCCGAGCTGGGGACGTGTTCGGATAATCCTTGGATTATTTTTAAGAAGAAGTTACAGCTTCTTAAAAAAATATCAGGGTCTGGAATTCTACTAACCGGGATCAACTTTATAATAAGAAGAAAAATGTTCAAGAGATGTTGGAGTGTATTGATAGGCGCTTAATGATAGATGACGGTTCCCCTAATTTGAGAGAGTAAAGGGTTTCTTTATTAAAGGAGATTTCGGATCTAGATCATTCATCACAGCTGGAGCTCGCTCAAAAGGCTAAGATTCAGTGGAGCATAGAGGGTGATGGGAATTCAGGTTACTTTCATGGAGTTATTAATCGCAGAAGGCGCCAAGTTGCTATTCGTGGTCTCTTGATTGATGGAGCTTGGATTGATAACCCTATTCGGGTGAAGGAGGAGTTTCATGCTTACTACCAGTCTCTTTTTTCACAGCATATGGGAAGGCGTCCATCTACATATGCCATTCACTTTAGTACTTTATCCTCTTCTCAGACACAATTATTGCAGTCTCCTTTCACCCGAGAGGAGATTAAAAAAGCGGTTTGGGATTGTGGTTCAAATAAAGCTTCGGGCCCAGATGGTTTTACATTTGGTTTCTTCAAGAGAAATTGGGATCTTATGGCAGATGATGTCGAGGCTTTTTTCATGCATTTTTTTCATCATTCTTTTATTCCAAAGGGGTGTAATGCTTCTTTCTATAGTCTTATCCCAAAGATTAGAGACTCGAAGTGCATGAAAGACTATAGACCTATTAGTCTTATTGGTTGCCAATATAAAATTATTGGTAAACTTTTAGCTAATAGATTGGTGGAGGTTATTGATACTGTGGTTAGCTTAGAGCAGTCTGCCTTCGTCAAAGGTAGACAAATCATGGACGATCCTTTTCTTCTTAACGAGGTGGTTTCTTGGAGCAAGGGGTATGGGGATCCTACCTTGCTTTTCAAAGTAGACTTTGAAAAGGCTTATGATTCTCTCTCGTGGGATTATTTGTTAGAGATTATGCAGATCATGGGTTTGGCTCTAAGTGGTGTGGTTGGATTAGGGAGTTATTGAAGTCTGCTAGGGCTTCTGTCTTGGTCAATGGCTCGCCTACTGATGAATTTCAAATTCATCGTGGTCTCAAACAAGGAGACCCCTTATCACCTTTTATTTTCATTTTGGAGATGGAGGGGCTTCGTGTAGCTTTAATGTGAGCTCGAATGGCTAATGTTTTTAGAGGTGTTACTATTTCAGGGATTGAGATCTCACATTTTATTTACGCAGACGATGTCATGCTTGTTTCAGAGTGGGATCTTGAAAATGTGAATCGTCTTATTCGCATTCTTCGGTGTTTTTATATGGCTTCGGGTCTTAAAATCAATTTGCAGAAAAGCAAATTAATTGGTGTCGGAATCTCTTACAGCCAGGTTTCTATTGTGGCAGATACGATTGGTTATGCTGCAACTGATCTCCCTTTTATCCATCTTGGTGTCCCAGTTGGTTAGACTATGAATCGGGTTTGTGCTTGGTCTCATGTTTTTGATCGGTTTCGGACTAGATTGGCTGGTTGGAAAGCCAAAACCCTCTCTTTTGGCGGTCGCCTTACCTTATTGAAGTCTGTTTTGGGTTCATTAGGGAGCTATCTGATGTCGATTTTTCTTGTTCCCATGTCGTTTTTTTACTCCTTAGAGGCCTTGAGGGCTAAATTCTTTTGGGGTGCGGATGTGGATGAGAGACGAATGTATTGGGTCAGATGGGACAGAGTTCTAGCTAATAGAGAGGAGGGTGGATTGGATGTGGGTAGTTTATTCTCCTTTAATAGGGCCATGATGTTTCGTTGGTGGTGGAGATTTTATCATTCTCCTAATCTATTGTGGGCTCGATTGGTCAGATCTTCATATAGTCCTGACAGCGGTTACAGGTCTTTGCTCTCTAGGATAGCCGGCACAGGTCCTTGGCTTGGAGTTATATGTATGTTCATTCAGTTACAAGATAGAGGTCTTGATATTCGTTCCTTATGTCCTATCAGGGTTGGTGATGGGAGTTATACTTCTTTTTGGCATGATGTTTGGATGGGAGAGGCGTCTCTTGCAAATACTTTTCATAGAGTGTTTTCCTTAGACACTTTTAGAAATGCTACTGTCAAAAATCGAATGGATGTGGGTTTGGAGACTGATACTCTTAGACGTAGTCCTAGAGGAGGTGTTGAGCAGGAATAATGGGATGGAATTCTTTCTCTCGTTCAGGATTTACAGTTGCAGACGATTCCTGATAGGTTGGGTTGGACTATTGATGTTTCTGATAACTTCTCGGTTGTGTCTGCTCGACGGTTCATTGATGGTAGCTTACTGTACGCAGGAGGTGGTGAGACGCGGTGGAACAATTGGGTTCCAATCAAGCTTAATGTTCTTTTGTGGAGGATTCGTTTACTCAGTATTCCTACTAGAGAGAGAATTTCTTATAGGGGAATTATGTTAGATTCGATTTTTTCCCTATTTGTTCCTGTAGGGTGGAGACTATTGAGCATTTGTTTTCTGGGTGCTCTGAGTTGTGAGAGATTTGGACGCGTATTGCTATTTGGTGGGGGATACAGATTCCGGTTGACATGTCAGTTCATTCTCTTATTACGTGGTCAGACTTCGTTTCTATGAGAAGTGGCCAACGAAAGGCTTACGATGCAGTGGTTATAACTTGCTTTTGGTGCATTTGGAATTTTAGGAATTCGATTATTTTTGGAACGAAAACTCGTTTCTTTTTTATGATGTTGTTTATAGAGCTTTTTTCTGGATTTCTAGTAGGTATTGTAAAGCTAAGCTTTGTTGGAGTACTTGGCTTCACAACCCTACTTCTGCTACAACTTTGATGTAATGGCTTATTTCTAGCTCCTTGCTAGTTTTAATAATATTTATGTCGTTCAAATATATATATATATATATATATATATATATATATATATATATATATATATATATATATTATTAATATATTAAATGGAAATACTAGCAAGGTTGTAAAAAGTGTTTGGCAGACGCTCTACGGTCGACTGGTGTCAAGCGATTAATCAGTGTTAGCGGAGATTAATCGGAGACCCTTAATTATTATTATTATTATTATTATTATTATTATTATTATCATCATCATCATCATCATCATCATCATTATATGTGTAAATATCCATTAAAAATCATAATCTGCTATTTAAACATTTAAGTAATAAACCATCATAGTACAAGTCCATAATAAGTTTAATAATCCCAAAAAAAACACATTTTCATAGAAAAAGTTCTGTAGTTGTTGAATTTTGACGAAGTGCTTGATTATCATTCGTCCCGAGAGCTTCATCAATCGATTCCATAATTGATTTGGGGTCAACTTTATCTACATCACGATCATTACAATAAACAATCCATTGTTGAGCTGAGTGAGAATCATTTGCTAAAAGCACTTCCAAATTCCTATCTTTTCTCTTTTTGTTTTTCTATTAAATTAGCATTAAATTGAACATAAACAAGATTTTCCAATCTACTTGTTTTCAATCTATTTCGTTTCTTTGTATGTACCTATAAAAGTACACGCAAAAAAGGGTTAAAAACATTCTTGATATTTAATGTTTATAACTTTATAACTAACCGCTTCAAACGTGCTCCAATTCCTTTCAGAACCCGATGAACTACTAGTTAAAGAAAGAATTCCTGTTGCAATCTTTATCAAATGAGGAGTTGAGCCACCAAAAAGTCCCCACCATCTTGCTATAATTTTGAAACAAAAACGCATTAGTAAATTAATAGATATAAAATTTTATTGTTTTATAAAATAAATAAATAAAAGTAATAACAAATTACCCGGATCAAAGTCGGCATCGTTCACCGTACAAGATTTATGTGCAAGCTCCATTCCAAATCTATCAACTTTTTCCTTGTACTTTGGGAAGTCAATAGTCACGACTTGTCTTTACATCTCTAAATCTCCAAAAAGTAATGTATCAAAAAGTTCAAGAACCGCATCCATTACGTCAAGATCATGTTGGAGTTGTGAATCCTTATAATGATAATAAGGATTCAAAAGATAAGCTGTCAGATGTAATTTTGAATCTAGCCTACCTTTCATCTTGTTGATTATAATATCTATAATAGGCTTGTAAGCTTTCTCTTGACCACCCAAAGCTTTCATAATTTCTTCTTTTGCTACTTTAATCTCCCCATAAATAAAACCCATTACGGGCTTCCAATCCACTTTAACCATTCGAAGGACTTTCACCAAAGGAGAAAACACTTTTAAACATTATGTCACACCAGCCAAAAATTGGAGACTTGTCACCGTCCTATATGAGGCTCTCCCTTTAGGCGTATCGGATAATTTGCATTCCTCTCGTTTGGTGCTAGAGAACATATGTTTTAGTTGCTCCTTTTTTTAGTATAAGCTTTGTAATGTTAGAAATGTGGAAGCAAATCTCGTGACTCTCGGTCGAATAATTTCCCTTTTCTTGGTGTATTTTCTCATCATAGCCAAGGTTTTGTAGTGAGCATAAAGGAATATGGTTAGTTTCTTTACTTGATCTATGACTTTCTTAAACCTTGGAAGTCTACCAATACCTTCAAGAAATAAACACGATTAAATAACAAATTAATGAATTATAGTATAAAACAAAACATGTTAAAACTAAAATACTAAATAATATAATAACAAAATACAAATACCTTTGAGCATAAGGTTAATGGTGTGTGTCTCACATGATGACCAAAAATAGTCGGTATTTTCTCTTTTAGTAACTTCGTCGCTCCCATGTTATTCATGGCATTATCGGTCACAACTTGACAATATGCTTAAGAACAACTTGTTGAATGCAAGATTCCACATAATCATATATGTGTTGGCTTGTATGCGCTTCACTTGAACTTTCTTTTGATGATAAAAACATGGTACCCATTTTTGAATTTACACATAAATTCATAATGCTCATTCTCTTCCTATCGGACCAAGCATCCGTTATGATCGAGCATCCAATCTCTTTCCATTCTTCTTCATTTCTTTTCAACAAACTTTTTGTTCTTTTATCCTCAAGCTTTAGAAGTAGGTCGCTCAAAGAATATCTAGTAGGAGGTGGAAGCTCGGTTCCAAATTGGCCAACAACCTCCAACATCATTTTGAAGCGATCATCTTCCAATGCATGAAACGGAATCGAAGTTTTATATGCCCACGTACTAATGAATTCATGACACGCTAATATTCTATATTTCTGAACAATATTGTTAAGATAACCTTTTTTCCCTTTCCGTTCTTCAAAGCTTCTTCAGGGTTTATTTTGTTTGCAAAGTCATCCATGGGGCCTATAATATTTGGTGCTTTACACCCCAAAAAATCTTCTATTTCATCCACCTCAGCACTGTCATGTAATTCTTGCATCACCTTCAATCTTAAGGATTCATCATGTGTGCGTTTAACTATCTTTTTTAACTTTCCTTCGTTAAGATAATTTTGAATTCTTAATGGATCATCTTTTATAGAGTTTGAACATGAAGAAACATTTCTCGTCACATGAGCAATATGTTGTTTAAATCTAGAAATCCCCCCGCCAGCGACTTTTCCACACAAGTTACATTTTACTTTATCCAACTTATTTTTATCCGGGAAAATCCATATTCCCAACCAATATCATGCGAATTTTGTTTATCAGCAGCAGTTGCGGTAGATTCCACCGATGGTGAAGTGGAATTTTTAGATGTCATTGATTAATCCCACAACTGTTATATTTAGAAAAAATCAGATTTCAATTTTTAAACAGTGATGGTGAAGTAGAATATGTTTCCTGTTCAAAATACCAATCATCATGTTCACAGTTCAAAATATAATTGAAGTAAATGTGAAACATTTATTAATTGAATTCATATCTTTATTTTTAGGATATATAAAAATGGGACGTTATATCTTACTGCACAAACTACTACTTGCATTTCATTATTTCTTGAAAAAAAAAGGATCAATTCAATTCCTAAAATTCGTATCTTGAAAACTAGTTATACATAATTCTTCTTTTCGTATCTTCGAAGGGGCAGTAATCCAAAATAGTCACACATATATACCATATACAAAAATCAGTTAAATGTTTCATGGAGCTAGCTTTGTTAATTTCGAAGCTAGTTGTAACATAATTAATAAGAAATATCATTATTGATGTGATATTTTATATATTTTTAATACTAAATGAGCTACTTCTTTGACATTATAAACTTTCGTATTTATTTCATGGTGGACCTAACCAGGAAGTCAATAACCAATGATTGCAGGAAGTAGTGAATCCAGAAAACTTTTTTCATTAAACTAAGGTAGATATTTGGACACATTAGCGGGGTGGTGTGAAACATACAGACTTTGTAGATAATACATTGTAAAGAAAATTTCTTTGGCATATGATTTGCCTCGTCGTAAGCATCACAGAGCAAAACACACAAAACACAGTGTAGCAGGGTACATAACTGAGTTGCGTCGTTGTACTCTGTGTCGGCGTCATTTGGTGTCGACGGCGATGCCAACTTCGGAATGAATCACCAATGAAGCAACGATAAAATTGAGCCCTCGTCAAAGCTTCGTACAGAGAAACAAAAAGCGAATGAATGAAATATTAGGGCTACGATTTGAATTTGGAGCCTTTTTTTCTAATTTTGACCGGCCATGGACTTTTCTTTAATTCGTTGACAATTGTTGACCGATTAGGCTGATTAGCCTACCAAGAACCGGTGTTGACTGAAATTGACCCGAAGCGATTAATGTGACTGGCAAGCTTTAATCGTAATCGGCTCAAGTCCGCCAAGTGATTAATCACCGATTAATCGGCCGCCAAGGCCGATTTCTGTAACACTGGGAAATAGTAAAATTAATTAAGAATTCATCAGAAATTGATTAGAATCAATTTCGGGTTAATTAGAATTAATTGGAAGTGCAAAGACTTAAGTTGTAACTGTTCAATAGTTGAACAAGAAGAAATTCCAGAAGCTTCCTGTCCCTGGACGGTTTTGGGAAGGATTAGGATTTCTGGAATATTCCTTATAGATAAATAAGGAGGTAGATAATTACTTAATTCAAGATATTATTATTATATTCAATTAGGGTTATCCAAGGCTTCCTATCTCAGCTACAAATAGATCCCTTGGCCTATGGATTTTCCATCAACTCCTTTTCACATGCTAAGTGCCAAAAATTCTCTATCCCTCTCCTTTCTCCTCAAGTCCTCTAGTTACTAGGGTTTTTGGTACAAGCTATTAGAGTCACTTAAGCTTTTGGTACTTACTTTCCAAGGAACTACAAGAGGATTTTTGTGATTATTTACTATAATAATCAAAAGTTATGTAACCCTAATCCTATATGAATTTCAATTATTGTAGGCTTCCTCTAGGTTTCTTGATATTCATAGTTTATTGCTATCAATAGAGAAAACATAGATCTTTTCTAGGTTGCATGTGAACTTAAGAGTTTAAATGTTTTTCTGCTTACATGTATTTTTTATAACCTAGAAACCCCAACAATGAGTAGACAATGCAGATTGGTCCATGAAAGAGATGTGATCAGTAGAAGACTCCATTAGAAATTCAAAAAAAAACACATCGTTTGTGAAGAAAAGAAGAGAAATATATGTCTGCTCTAGCACTTGAATCGTCTGAAAGCATAAAGAGCTTTAGTGTGTTTTAAATGGAGTATTTATAGGTGAGAAAAATGCAAGCGTCGATTTTGAATTTTGAAATAATCGGTAAAGTAGGAAAGATGAACCGCCAACACGTCTAATCCCACGTCACTCTTGAGTTCCACAAAATAAGAAGATGACAGCTCATCAGTCTTGCAACGGACAAATAAGAATCGTTCCGTACAAGATATCACATGTAACCAATTTCGATTCACCACAACTTACTCTGATTCACTCTGATCCGCTCCGATCAATCGCAATCGGTCGTAATGAAAGAAACATGTCATTTCAGATTGCAACAGTTTCGTAACGACTGATCCACCCTTTAATTTTCACTCGACTCATTTCTGCTATCTCGGCCTCTGTACTCGGACTCTGAGTCTTACTCAGTTTGGTATTGCTCTGGATAGGTAATTCACCTTTCTTGGAATTCTCCATGTTGAACCTTTTCAACACCTTATCCAAGTAGGTACTTTCACTAAGTCCAATTAGTCTTTTACTCCTGTTTCTCAATATCCTTATCCCTAGAATACAAGTAGCTTCCCCAAGGTCCTTCATAGCGAAACACTTCCCAAGCCAGGACTTAACCTCCTGCAAGGTTGGGATGTCATTTCCTATGAGAAGTATGTCATCCACATACAACACCAGAAAGCTAACTATACTCCCGATATATACATAGGACTCATCATCGCTTCTCGAAAATCCAAATTCTTTGACTTTCTCATCGAAACAAAGATTCCATCAGCGAGATGCTTGTTTCAATCCATAAATGGATTTCTCAAGCTTACACGCTCTATTAGGGTAATTTGCACTGACAAAACCCTCTGTCTGACTCATGTAAACATCTTCAGCCAACTTCCCATTAAGGAAAGCGGTTTTGACATCCATTTTCCATATTTCATAATCATGAAATGCATATATGGCAAGCATAACACTTATAGATTTAATTTTCGCTACTCGTGAGAAGGTCTCATTATAGTCAACTCCATGACTTTGAGTAAAGCCCTTCGCAACCAATCGCGCCTTATATGTGTGTACTTTCCCATCCATGTCGGTCTTCTTCTTGAAGATCCATTTGCACCCAACTGTCTTACGACTTGGTACATTGTCAACCAAGTTCCAAACTTGATTGTCATACATGGACTGAATCTCGCTGTCCATAGCCTCTTTCCATTTTGCAGACTCGAGGCCTGCCATGGCTTCCTTGTAGTTGTTAGGTCCATCCAAATTTACTAGTGTGCTATCACTGATAAATGTATCACCATCTGTAGTAATATGGAAACCATATAGCACAGGTGGAACACTAACTCTACTGGAACGCCTCAGAGGTAAGGACTCGTCAACTGGTTCAACAGGAGTTTCCTCCTCAGGTTGAGCGCTAGTGTTTGAGGTTCCTTCATCACTTAAATCTTGAAGCTCTTCAAGGTCAATTTTCCTCCCACTGTCCTCTTGGCATATGAGTTCTCTCTCTCGGAAAACCCCTCTCCTCGTAACGAAGACAACATTGTCACTCAGTCTATAGAAGAGATATCCAAAAGACTTTTGTGGGTAGCCGATGAAAATACAACGCTCACTACGAGGTTCGAGCTTGTCGTGAGTCTCACGCCTCACGAAAGCCTTGCAACCCCAAACCTTGATATGTGCTAACAAGGGAACCTTCCATGTCCACATCTCGTGAGGTGTTTTGGAAACCTTTTTAGTTGGGACTAGATTAAGGATATGGGCGGCAGTCTCTAAGGAATACCCCCATAATGAGATAGGTAACAAAGCTCGACTCATCATGGAATAAACCATGTCCAACAGGGTTCGATTGCGCCTCTCAGCCACACCATTAAGTTGTGGTATCCTAGGTGGCGTCAATTGTGAAACAATTCCACATTCCGTAAGATAGTCGTGGAACTCGATACTAAGATACTCACAACCCCGATCGGATCGGAACATCTTTATCTTCCTGCCCAATTGATTCTCCATTTCTTGTTTAAACTCTTTGAACTTTTCAAAGGTTTCTGACTTATGCTTGATTAAGTAGATATAGCCATATATGTTGTAATCATCAGTAAAAGTCACATGGAAGCGGTTAACATCCCTTGTGGCGGATCTGAAGGGTCCACACACATCGGTGTGTATGAGATCCAACACACCCTCACCCCTTTCACAAGTACCAATGAAGCGTGACTTGGTCATCTTTCCAAGCAAACAAGATTCGCAAGTGTCATCCGACTTTAAGTCGAATGACTCCAACACACCAGCCTTTTAGAGTTGGCTTATGCACTTCTTATTGACCTGTCCAAGACGACAATGCCACAAGCATGCCTTGTCTAAATTATTGGACGAATCAATATGCAATACATTATTTCCTAAGTTGTCTACAACCATCACAGTTTCATATACACTATTACAAGGCAATGCTTTAAAATAAAATACACCATTATAAAAAGCATTAATAGAACCAATTTCATTATCAAATG